TAGATTTCAACGTTCATAAATATAGTTCAGTTCTCATATTCATGTATCTTATCTGGAAGATCGAATTGTCATTATGATTAATTCTGTGAGGATAACGTAGGGTTCTTAAAGACGGATTTGGCGAAATAGGAAAATTATTTTTTATAAAAAGATTCGCATATTCCTTTGATTCACACCCTAAATCATGGAAAATGGTGAATAATTAATATGTGATTCATTATTACTTAGTAATAATATTTATTCATCCACTTTTTTTTTTTTTTGTTCACAAGATTAGTGAAGTATTTGCTATCACAGGATACTTTCTCCAACTATGCACATGCATAGCAAAGAATTCTCTTTTCTTACCGTTAGCGTCTTTGGGAAATGCTTTTGAGAGCATTCAATACAGTATATTTGGAGCTACGCATATGGCGTTTATCCGAAACTTTGCTGTAAGTAGAGAAGAACACATAAAAATTCCACCGTCATTTTATTAAATTTACCGTATTGGTGTTTCATAGCTTTCTGGAAATGTTGGCGATATTGTGGCTAAAGATGATGCGCAAATGTCTCTGGCGCACTTGCTTGGGTCAGCATCGTCTAATTATTTTAATCACTTGTTTCAATTATGCTCAAAGATAAATAACTATTATCATCATTTCACATTTAATAGAATGCTTTGCGGTATTGGCATGATTACTATTTCCCACGATCCGGCCTTTTTGTTTGGCTGTTTCACTATCCTTGCACCCATCAACGTGTACGCTACATTAGCACTTTTGAACTCGGCACAATTTGAGATTTTGAATCAGGCGAAACTATCATTAATTGGCAGACAATATATCGATTGTGGTAAAGTTCCAACTATGGAAGAACTTAAGGATAGAGAAATTGGTTTTGGAGAATGGGTCAAACCGGGGAAGAGTCCTATAGGTGTTAAAATACATTTAGGAGTTCCTGCATCAGATGCGTTCCGCAAAACTGAAGATGTAATGGATTCTTTGGACGTATTAGGGGTGATTTTTAAATAATTTTGTCATTCTAATGTTTTCCCCATGCTCGTATTGATTCATATTTTTTACGATTCCCAATGACCTAAGAATGAAAATTATTTACTAAACTATCAACCACATTCCAACACAATTGATATTCTTTACCATTCTGATGCCGAATCCAACGACGTGATAAAGTCCATACTTCATTCGCTTAAATTTCACGACTATGTAACTAAACATAATATGGCACAAATGAACTCTGAAGACATAACTCAGCGTATCAGAGAGTCAATGCGAGAAAGCCATAAGTGGACGAATGAAAACTTTGGAAGGTTTGTGGCGGAATTAGATGACAAAGATTGGCAGAGTGATGTGATTTTTTGGTCAGACAAGTATGTTTTCAAATGTTTTCAAATTTTAAATAAAACCTAATTTGATCAATGACGTTAAATATATATATGTTATATATATTTATTTATTTATTTCAGAGGGTTCAGAGTTATATGGGAACGTAACAGAGACAAAACAATATAATCGATTAATAATTATATGTAACATAAATATAGATTTTAATTTGAGCTTTATTACAAATATGCATTATCAAAGTCAAGAAAAAAACAAAATAAATCTACAACGAAATAATTTCAAAAATACTACCAAAAAATATTAATATTTTTGCATTCATATTTTCATTTATAATTTAACAAAACATAAATACAATATTAATTTCTTTATTTAATGAATTATTACAGTAATTCTAATATACTAATTTCAGTACCATTTTTTTTTCTAAATTCCAAATAAACGTAGAACAGAAGAGTCTAACTTTGAGCAGAAATTACTTCTGTTTCTTTCCTTCTTTCTTATTTTTATAAACGAAAACTTTTGTATTATCAGCGATGATAAATTGTTCTTTCCACATTGTAAAGGTATCAATAAAAGCTTTGACGATTGGTTCATTAGATTCACGCTTGAATTGAGGATAACGTTTTTGGAATGAAGCAGTAGCTTCCTTAAGATAATAATGTGGAATTGCCGGGAACAAGTGATGAATTTGATGTGTACCAATAGAATGAGTGATGTCATGAAGGATACCATAGTCACGATCCACAGAAGAAAGGTTACCAACGACATAGTTCCATTGATCGTCGGAAAACCACGGAAGTTTCAAGTTTTCTTCGGCGCCATGATGATGAAGAAAAGTAGTGATCACTAACCAAGTAGCAAAAATTATCCATGGAAGGAAATAGTATTTTATTACGGCCAAAGTACCGAAATGAATGGTGATTTTACCGAGACCAAGCAGTGCCAGAAGCACACAAATGATTGAAATGATAGCACCAACGCGATTTTTAGCAAAAAGGGGGGCGAATGGATTTATATGAGATGTCGCCCTTGTTCCATAGCCGAGAATCAAGTAAACGATCCAACCGACACCAAATCCAAAATAAGGTAAGAGTTTTGTATTTTTAATACCATTAATTTTAAGAACTTCTGTTTCTCTCATAGGAAAGAATACTTCATCTTTATCAATATTGCCAGTGTTTTTGTGATGGTGACGATGACTTATTTTCCAATTAGTATAGGGAACAAGGATCAAAGTATGAAGAAACGTTCCAACGATATCATTGAGCCAAGGATAACGACTAAAACTACCGTGGCCACAATCATGGCCCAATACAAAAATAGCCCAAAACATGGTGCCCTGAATAAATGTGTAAGAGGGAAGTATAGCAAAGGTTTTAACGATTGATGGAATAGATCCGATGGAGTCAAGTATAAGATAAGTAGCAAATGTGATAGCAACAATTATTAAATCCCGTGCAACATATTTTAACGATTTTTTAACTGAAGGACTAAAGTATTTTGCAGGAATGTTTTTCTTTATTTCTGTGATCAAAGGAACTGAATCTTTTAAAAAAACAAGACCATCGTCTGATTTTATCTTATAGATTAAAGATTTCGTTTCTCCTTCAACACAAATCTCGTCACTAGGCACCACTGATGAGTGGATAGGAAAAGGTTCGAGAGGAGGCATGTTAAGTTTAGCAAATTAAAAAAAAAAAAAGATTGAGATTAAAGTTGGATTGTGACGCTATTTTAGATCAAAAAATGGAAAACTGAAATTTTGGAAGAGAAGGGTTGAGAACAAATTTGAGATCATTATTTATATTTTTAAATGTTGTCCGTATAAAAAAATTGATCGAACAATACATAAAATGTGTATGAAAAAAAAAAAAAAAAAAAAAAAAATCTAGGCCGCGCATCGTATTATAAAACACCATTTTGATACATGTGCATATACCAATATGTAGTGTTTGCATTCTTAAATTGAAATACCCTATCTAGAAATAATTTGGTGTATTTCCAAAAGTTTTTCATTGTTGTACACTTTAACTGTCTCAAACTTTTTTGACCTTGTACGTCCTGTTCTTTCCCAACTTGTCCCATCAAATCAAATCTTCATGAGGCTCAATGTAAGTTAAAGTTTACGCGGCACTGAAAGGTCATTGACATTTTTTACTTGCCCTAACTGTCTCGTGTACAACATTGGGATTAGCGTATCTCGATTAATATGCCACTTTATTTCTAAATCAGGTCTATCTCGTATAAATGTCTAAATCACATGCAACTTCTAAAATGGTACATAATATTAACAGATAATCGAAATGTTTTGCTACGTAAACATAAAATGAACAAAATAGGATAATATTAATCTTCTATTGTTTTTTTAAAGAATCGATTAATAGCATTGGAAAGAGATTTGATTGTATTTAGCGAATTTTATATCGATATTGTATTAATCGTATTTAGTACTGTACTACGTTTATCAAAAGCTAATAGGTCTACCTCTTGGATGCTAATATTTATATTTAACTTATTATGGCAAATCTATTCCAGCATTTCAAAGGGTTCGACAATCGATGCATTACATGAAACGAGAATGAACTTAAAGTGTCTTCATAATACAATACGTATTAGTGTTATCCGACTTAATCTTGTGTACTAATCAAATCATTAATGTATTGTTGTTTTTTTAAAATACTATTAACGAACTCAATTGCTTAAATTGCAGAATTGTTGCAAGATAACGCAACACAGTAGGTCAAAAAAATATTTTGTAATTAAATTAACAATTATGGATTTATAGAATACGCATGCATAGTAACTACATCTTTAAATTAATATACTTTATAATTTATTAAATTATAAAACACTTCGTTTTCTGAAAATGTTTATATCAGATCTCCTTTAGTATTGTAACTAGTATTTGCAGCATTTTTGCGAATGGTACAAAAAAATTTGTCAATCAGTGAGTGTAACAAACACTATTACAGTAGTCGAAAGAAACAACTCGTGTAAAAGATACAGACTATAATAGATCGAAGGGCATATGCCAATGACATATATTTGGCGATGCCGGATGAGATGCATGCGGATAAGATTTTTGATAGACTACAACTTATATAAACCACTCCGGCTTGAATTATAGTCTAAAATTTCTATTAGCAACCTAAGTGCGAGTTTTCTTTTGACCTGAAAATTTTTCCTTAACCCAAAAACCACCTGCAACTTCGGGCGCCTGAGTGAAGTTAATCCTCAAAATTATGCATCAATTAGTAATTTTATGCGGGTGCAACTTCAGGTAGATTCTAATTTCAAGCATAATATCGACACCAAATTCCACTGATAAGAGATAATCTATAGCGATAGCAGTATTGAGCCATTTCAGATCATATCCGGTCAATAATGTAATATATAGTAAATTTTATAGATCATAACCCAATATCAAATCATGATCTGGTGTAATGTGGCACGATTAGTTTTTGTGCTTAATAGAAGAAATCTTTAATTTCAAATTAATATTTGAGTGCTCGAGAGTAAAAACCTGTAAGTAAATATTTGACCCCACAACATTCTAACCAATCAAAATTCAAGATCAGCCGATCTTGAATTTTGATTGGTCAAAATCGTACAAAATTTTGTGTGGTCACTCAAGAAATATTTTTTTTGTTTAAATAAAAAAAATTTTTTTTGCGTTAGAAAATTTTTAGCCATCGTCTTATCCGAGTCTAACTTAATTTAGCCTGGCATGGTGATACAGGCGGAACTGTTCCAATGAAACGTACGACATATATCAAGTTACAATGCACTTTCATAAATGGGCTGATCTGATCAGACCCCTGATGAATTATAAATTCGCGCAGGGGTGATAAATTGAATCAACCGGGAAGCCCACCAGAATGCAGATAAATAGCGCAGCCGCAGCATAATAGCCAATCGATGACAAGCCTTAAAGCTATTTAATCAGTACGTACAATTGTTCATGAAGAGTCTTTATACTTAATTAGGGTTAGTTACTATTTTATATGGGATTTGCGATCCGTTATCTGTTTAAATTAGGCTTAAAAACAGTTAGCGGATCACATACCGTAGTGCACTGACCAAAAGACCCGAGGTCTAATACAAAACACCCATCAAAAAACTTACAAAAGACCCGAGTATATTATGCTGTAGCGAGTGTGTGTCGCAAGAAAAAAAAAATTTCGAACATATATATATTTTGC